AACAAATCAATGCACCTCTTCATTTTATTGTGTCAAACACCTTTAAGATGTGAAAATAGATTCTCGTAATCTCATAGTATCAATATGAAATTGAAATGAAAAAAATGCAAAAAGAAAGAAAGTAAAGGATCCATGAAAAAATACCTGCAATTTTTTCCTTTTCTTTTTGTAGTAGCACCCATAAATTCGCAACAACTTGTCCCCCAATTGAGCCCTTCATTCATGTATTGCAGCAATAGGTTACCTGTCTTTGAAAACCAAAGCATAACGATTTAAGATCAAAGGAAAGGAATAACTAAAACGCACCTGAGGTATTTGGTGTTTTAGCATACCAAAGTAGATATGTGCTTAGAAGGGGGATTTATCCCTTTAGTTGAGCTCTTGGAAATGGCCTAAGATAATACTTTTGAAAAAACTATCAAAATTAAAATGCATAATGGTAAAGCCAAGGTAAAAAATGTAGTTATATCTACAACAACATTATATGAGTTTAAAGGATTTCCTTTTGGTTTAAAAAAATATGGAAAGTATAAACCGCAACCTGCACAAATCATTTTAACAGAAAATAACCCCTGTAATATATTCTCCATTGAAAGCTATTGGACCATAGGTATTTTTATTATTGAACTTTGTAAACTGCCTTTTCATCAACACCGGTAAATGCATATAAAGCCAGGTAATTTGCCCCCTTTAAAGCTGCCACAGTTTCTTTAGAAGAATCAATTATTCCTCTCGTAAAGGTGAAATCACAATTAATAAGTAGATGAAGTGTATTCTTTTCTTTTGTTATTTAACTATAATTTAACACAATATGAATCAAGAGTAGAACATGAAAATGTTATTTTAGCACAATTGAAACGAAAAGATAATCACACAACTTAGCTAAAAGAAAGGCACAAAAGGCGACACTATAGCTGCAATAATTTGAAAAAAAATATTATTGAAATTCAACTTTTCACTAATGATAAAAATACACTCAAATTTTAACCATGTTTGTTAAAAAATACGGGAATGATCTTTTGACTTTAGGATAATTGTCAAAAGAACCACCGTGTAAAAAATACTACGGAGTATGTTTTATCAGCAGTTCAACATTACGCATTTTCAACAAATAGTCTAAAACAGAATATATAGAAGATCTTAGCCTATGAGTAAATCTGATATGTGAGCTTCACTTAGTTCTAGTATTTACTTGGCCATTTTAATTGAAGCTGAGCCAAGGCTATTTAATTTTTTTAGAGGTCAAGCAGTAGTTAAAACTTCTGTTTTCCTTATTAATTTGCATGCACCTATGGTGTTCAATACGAACCTAACTCATTGACTCCAAACTTAGGCATTCTTGATTTATACTCATGTACGGTTTAGCAAGTAGCTAGGCACATTCAGCTGCACTGTTGATACTAAAAAAGAATTTGTCCTTTGTTAATAAAGATATGGTTTTTGAATTAAAATAACCAATCTTACCTCCCCTCATAGCAAAGCTCAACTCAATTAATGAAACAACCTTGATGCGTAAAAAACAACTGGAGATGAAAATAATTAATATGATGTGGACTTGGAGGAAAGGGAACATAGAGTAATTGAATCTCATAGAAGATGAAAGAAACCGCCCGAGTAAATGGTTCTTTGAAATTTCAAAAAAGGAAATAATCTGCTAGCTAGGTGCTATGCAATTGTTGAAAAGAAGTTTCCAAACAAATGAAACATAATATAACATCCCGATATATACGATTATCCGAAGCTTCAAATAAAATTTGCAGTGATAACATGGCAGCGTAAAAGCAAACACAATTTAAGTGAATTTAGTTTTTATACCTGGCTTAGAGAAGATGGAAAAATAGCCTTCAATGGTGAATTTTCTTCTTATTAGTAAAAAAAGAGTATCCATGCTTTAAATTCAGTGGATCACTCAATGTTCTCTTTCTACACGTTAGTCAGAATAGTGATCGGCATATGCTTGCCTCTAGCGCTAGCCTTGTTTCTCTTGTTGTACCGATTTCTCAAGATTTCCCCTATATTTCTTTCTTAAATTCATCATCACCAAATATTATGATTCTTGCAGGCCGATCGTCTTCTTCTGGATCAAAGGAAAATATTATATTTAGTCCTTCACAGTTCCTTTAAGCAAGTATTTTATTTATTAAGCAACCCCTTCAATTTTTGAATAAAGGGAATGAAAGAAAATATTTTTCTCAATCTAACAACTCCATAACATCTGATCTATTAGAACTTCGACAAATGAAAGTTTCTCTCGATGCATCTCGCGTACGAAAATACACTAATGCTAGATAAGATTATTGAATAAAGTGGAAATAAATTCAGCCACTTCAACTCATCTTCAAAGAAAGATGTTATGAGGCTAGGAATTCACCCTTTCTCAATCAGGTTATCAATCAACCAATCCCACCATGGCTGCAAATTTTGATCTGCCATGCCCTGGTTATGATTGAAACTCTTGAATTCTATTAATAATCATCACAGCCTGTAGATTTTATAGTGT